AATGGCTTAATGATTTATTGAATATTACTCACTGATAAGACTTTCTATTATTCCATGCTTCCTTATACAATTTAGAAAATTCTATTATAACACTTTTTTTTTTATCAAGTTTCTGTTCCCATACTCTGTCACTTTTTGGCTCTCAATGGTTTCTTATTGGCACTTTCTTGAGGGATTTAAACAAATATTCTAACTTTTCTATTTCCTTACTCAAAAAACATTTACATAACTTTACTGAAGAGATCATTCTACTCACTGTAAGAATATGGCAAAGAGCTCAGGTGGCTAATATCAACATTAGCTAGTGCTCAATCGTCATATGTTTACTGGAGATCCGCTTTTGACTATAGCCTCTCCCAAACTTGATACTTGTGATATCATGTTACAAGAATATAAAACATTTTAAAACATATTTTCTTTTGAGTTAACCTGTTGACCAAGTATTTGGTATTAAAAAAAAAAAACAACTTGAGGTGATATCAGTAAAATGATGGCTAGAGAGTAACAGACACTCCTTCCCTCACAGAGACACTATGTTAATCATAATGTATGGACCAGAATATTTTTGTGAGAAGGCTAGAGAGCAGTTGAAAATCTGTAATACCCAGACCATTACAAAACCAAGAAGGAGTCCCAGCAAAAGGACAAGAAAGATTTACCACATTTGGTGCACAATCTGTGCCTGTGCGCCTTCTCTTATGTGGCATAGTAGGGAACAACCAAGAGGAGACCTCCTATACTAGTGCTGGACCCTCAGGTTAGAAACAAATGACTAGACCTTGCACTCAATGTTCTGGCTTTTCCAGAGGATGTCAAAGAGACTGATTTCTATCTTGTGTGACTTGGAGCACTGACAGGACCAGTGTTAGAGTTTGGAAGCTGCTGAAAACAGAGATGAGCAGCATATTACAATTGCAGTTCTGCAGACAGATGCCAGGAAGAGCAATAGATTGGAAAAAGTTTGAGAGGTCCTAGGTCCTCTGGTTGGGCTGAATGGAATAGGTCTTCCACTGAAGGAAGCCAGGATGCGAAGACTGGATGAGTTGATCATTTTTACAGATGTTCAAATCTCATCAAAAAAATTATAAATCTTTCAAGGAAACAAAAAAAAAATAGCCAAATCAAAGGAACAAAATAAAACTTCAGAAATGGACCCTAAGAAAACAGATATCAATGAGTTTCCTGACAAAGAATTTAAAATAACTTTTTGAAGATGCTTAAAATAAAAAGAACATAGACACTAATTTTATTTAATTGAAATGAAAACAAAATGAAAATATCTTGTTTCAGGAAAACAAAGCATGAACAAAATGAGAATATCAGCAAAGAAATAGGAACTATAAAAAGAATCCAAAAATTCTGGAGCTGAAAATATAATAACTAAATGAAAAAATTAATCAGAGTTTCAACAGCAGAAAAAAAATAAGTGCCTTTCAAGACAGGTCATTTGAAATCATTGAGTCAGAGGAGCAAAAACAAAGAACAGTGAAGAAAAGTGAAGAGAACTCAAGGAACTCATGGTTATGGACACCATCAAGCAGATCAACATATGCATTATGAAAATCCCAGAAGGAAAAGAGAAAGAGGCAGAGGGCTTATTTGAAGGAACAATCTGAAAACTCTACAAATATCAGGAAAGAACTGAACATACAGATTTAAGAAGTTCAAAGATAAATTCAAAGAGAACCAAAACAAGACACATAAATCAAACTACCTAAAGTCAATAACAAAGAGAATCTTAGAAGCAGAAAGAGAAAATGATTAATCACCTACAAAGGAGCTTCCATAAGATTAATGGCAGATTTTTCAGCAGAAACTTTGCAAGCCAGAAGGAAGATAAAGATATATTTAAAATGCTGATGAAGAAAAAAAAGTCTACCAAGACTACGTATCTAGAAAACTGTTCTTCCACAATGAAGAAGAAATTAAGATTTTTAACAAAAGTTGAGAAAGTTTATTATTATTAGATCTGTTCTACAAGAAATGACAAAGGGCGTCAGTCCTTCAAGTTAAAATAAGAGGATAGTAGATAGCAACATGAAACCATATGAAAATATAAGGTTGCCTGTTAAAGGTAAATACATGGACAAATATATTAACTAACCTGCACTATTGTGAATTTGGTGTATCGATTTGAATGTACAAAGCATTTTTAAAAATTTACATCTATGTTAATGCATATGCAGCATATAAAGACATAACTTGTGACATCAATAACATAAACTGTGGAGGGTTAGACCATAAAGGAGTAGAGTTATTTTACGTGATTGAAGGTAGGATGTTTTTGTTTAAAATAGAATGCTATAACTTTAAGATATTTTATGTAATTGTGGGTATTGACTTTCAAATGCTCAAGATAAAAAGCTCTGAAAATCTGTTTAACAAAAATGTGAATATGCTCAACACATTTGTCCAGCCTGGTGACAGAACAAGACCCTGTCTCAAAAAAAAAAAAAATGTTAAGATGTTAAATGTTACATTTTATGTTATGTGTTTTTTAAATATAATTTTAAAAATAATCAAAAACAAAACAAAAATACTCGACTTCCTTGTTTTCTGCATGCAAACTTTTAACTCTTATTTTCATTGTGAAGAAGTTATTTCTTTCAGCTATCTAAAAATTGTAGATTCATATTATACATTATATTTTACAACAAAGTATAAAATATGGGGTAATTTGGAATAATTAAGGAAGTACATATACTTTTAATTTGGTCATATATCTTCATATGATTACATCTAATAAGATAATTCTCCAGGACATGATGTGCATGTAGACAGGTGTGGACTAGCTCCTTTGTTTCTGGGCATGTAGGAGTAATTGGCTACAAAGTGAATACCTTCTATTTTCTTTTTTGCATTAGTTATACCTTAGTGCCAAGTATAACTGACTGGGTCTGGGAGCTCAATATTTTGACACTTATTTTTACATATGTAAACATTAGAGATACTTGAAAAATAGTACAAAAGAGAATAAAATAAGCAATACTTGTGTAACCAAGGAAGAGGTGGACATTTTTACTTTTTCATCTTGGCATTTTTTTTCTGGCACAGGAATTAAGGATTATGGCCTATCTGGATGTACATAAAAGCTTCTTAATTCTTTTTCTATCAGTTGGTGATGTCATATACTCTTCTGCTCTCCATTTTCATCTTCTAAGTTGCTGCCAAGCTTTAGCAAAAGATGCCTGAAAAATGAATTCTGCAGCAATCTCTGCTTTCTATGTGTTCTAGGAATTACCCTGATCATAATTTTTTCTTATACCGGCATGTGTCTTTCCAAAAAATTCTACCTTTTTCCTCCCATCCTTTAAAATGTACATTTTTACATTACACAGAAAATAAATTTCAACTTCCACTTAAGTGAACACTCCCCAGTTTCTGGGTATATATGATGAAGGTTTATAATGCCAGATAACAAATGTTATTGTTAGAAAATAAGAGAGAATTTTAGGTTGTAATGGCATAATTTAATACATGTGCCTTAGTAGTGTATTCATTTTTAAATATAAGATCTTTATCACGCTGCCTGAATCTATTTTCTGTGATTTAAAATTTATATGATTTCCCAGCTAGACATTATAAATTTTCTTTCATTATCTAATGGCCTAAAGAAGTGAATGTGAAAAAGAAATACGTATCCAACCAGTATCTTGTAATTGGTTATAGGCAAGAGAACTGGAGTTCACCGAATGTCTGCTACATGAAAGACTTCTTATTCAAATGTTACTTACATAAATCACAGAAAATCTCTATGAGGTTTATCAGTTCCCAAAAGAAAATGTCAGTCAAAGAGGGCACATATCTAATAGTGGCCAGATATATCCTTAGAGTCAAGGTTTTTCTGACTGTTTTTGAATTCCAAGAAAATCATTATCTTACCTGGCAATCCAGTGTAGAATTTTTACATCCTAATAATAATAGCTGAAACTTCTTTCCATCCATTCCTTTCTCTTTTCTTCCCTTCCCTTCCTTCCTATCTCCCTGCTTCCCTCCTTACGTTCGTTCCTTTCTTTCTTCTTTATTTTGGCCTCCAGAGGAACCTGCTAAATCTTTTTATTGCCTAATTTGTAGCTGGTTTTCAAAATTTATATAGTTTCTACTATGGCTTTATTCTTCATCTGCCTCAGGATGCCATGCTACTTTTGACAAAATTTATATGCCTAGATCTTCATGTTGTTTAAGACTGGAGCAATAACAGAATTCAGATATGGGTAACAATTGGATGAACACCTAACCCGCCTTTATTCTTATGCTTAGGCTGGTTAGCAAAGCAGCATGAGGGCACAATAAGGGAATTTGAACTTGGAATACGAGTTCAAAAAGTGATGTCCAGAGACATTAGCAACTTATGTAACTGTCTACAAAGAGAAAGAGAACGTGTAGACCAGAGAAGTTAGGCTGTCTCTTTGTATAACAGAGCTTCAAAAGTCTTATATTTTGGTCAGATGTTTCCTTTGTTGTTTTACATGGGTCAGAAGGACATGTAGCCATCCTCCACACAGCACCTTTTACAATTTTCAAGATTCAGTATACTTCCTCACATTTTAGAAAAATGACTGCATCTTCCTCACATGCTATCTTGGCTTAACATTAAATCCCAGTGTATATCAGTCTTAATCATATCTATTTCAGGCATTTTCCAGCTAGTTGCTCCAGAATACTCTATAGTGATTTAACCAGGGTATTGTTTTAATAGATCAATTGTTCTCAACTTAAACTGGGCAGTATTCTGGTATTGCCTTTGCAAGGGTCAATGAACCTGAGCCCTGATCATTACTCTGGAAATTTGAATGTTTACTAAGAACTCAGTAAAATTGAGTCTACTCCAAGATTCATAAATGTTTCTTGTATTTTTTACTTCTGCCATAATTCTCAATTGATTAGATAACGATCTTATCTTTCATTATACATTTTAAATAAATTATTATGCAGGCAATATATGCTAATGTAAAAAATCAAGACACATACACACACACCCCTCCAGTTTATACTCCAACCTGAATTTGAGTGTCATCTATGAATTTCAATTCCATCCAACGTGGATCCATCTCTTTTATTTTTTCTTCTGTGCTTCAGGACAGTCTACAAATATAATATTAAATCTTCTCTCTGTAGTCTGTTCCAGAAATACACAATACAGTTAAATTACTCTCTGACCTAATATTTCCAGAGTATTCTATGGATTGTTCTTTGTATTGCTCACCTATAATCTTTTGAAATAATCTCTAGCTTCTTAATTTTTAAGACATTATCCCTTGGGAAAACTCTTTCTCCCAAATTGGATTTGCTACTCTGTATTTTCCAGTCACTCATAGGTTTGCCATGTCTCATATCTCCTGGGCTAATCAACAAGGCCTATGAAATGGAATCCTTCCCAAGATAGGTTCTCCAAGCTTACTCCACTCTTCCAAGTTCAATTCATATAAACTTTGCAATTGATCCCTTCCCAAGATCAGGCAGTGTTAGAATAAGAGTAACGCACAATGGCTTCAATTCTTTCTTTCATAACTTGGACCTGCATTAGAAGAGAGAGAAAAATGAGAAGCATCATGTCAACTTGTATATTGAGTTCTTACCTTGGGCCAGCCATTCCTCAATTCTCAAAAGAATAAGCATGCTACAGTAGAAAATATTAAAACCTGATGGTTTAATGGACAAGTCCCTTTAGAGCATAGATATTTTATAAATAGTAAATATATTTTGAAGTACATCATATATGGTATATTAATATACAACATATTTTATAAATCATAAATATTTATAAATATTATTTAAGACAGTCTCGATAATAAGTATAGAAAATCAGGAAAGGGGCCAGGATATTCTTTATGGCCACGAGTTCGCAGCTTCTATCTTCTTACCCTGCCTGACGTAGGGTTACACTGGCAGCTCTTTGCAAATGGAGAAAACGTCCTAAAGACTTTTATTCTAACACTCACCCTACAGGTGAAAGTGGGGATGACATCAGACAATGTTAGCTTAAGACTTCATTATTTATTGGGTGGGAGTCAATCATAATATTGGTTTGAAGGCTGGCCTAAGGCCTTTTACATAAATTTATTTCCTTTGGTACTATTTTCAGGCACTGTTCTAACAAATTTAGTACTTAACATACTAAGGCAGATATTCTCATTATCTTCATTGTACAGGTAAAATTAATACACAGAAAGTTAAGTAATTTGCTTAAGGCCACAGACCTAGAAGTAGTGGAGCCAGGATTCAAATACAAGCAGCAAACAGGGTATAGTCCAGGGGTAGAGCATTTGACTACAAATGCAGGAAGCATGATTGCAGAACCTGGACTCTTAAACATTGCATTTTACCTCCTCTAATAATAGATATGGTTGTATTCTGTTCTCACGGTAAGAACTTCTTATGTTTTTGGTGGTCATAACTAACTTTATGCAAATCTGTGGAATTAAAGTTACACAATTTTCAAAGTTGATAAATCAGTAATGCAGATGCTTTAAACAGGACAAATTATAATTGATAATGCAAGTATCAATGAATGGGGTAGTATTAAAGAAAAGAATTTGAGGCCTCTGACACATTACACAGGCAAAGAACAAGAAAGAGGAGGATATTGTATGTTGATAATACATTGTATGTTGATAATATATAAGTATATATCTAAATATTTATATATTATATAATATATAAAATATATTTAAATATTTATATATTATGTATACTTATATTAAATGTATAAATATAAATATAAAATCATATTTTCTGTATTAGAGATCTATCTTTCCCTTTTTTCTTGTAATGTGCTGTTGGCTGAGCAGAATTTTTGATTCATCAGTCTGCTGAATACAAAGTATCTTCAGTTTGAGTCTTGTCTTTGTTACTTGTCTAGGTGTCTGGTCCCACTCTAGAGAAGTAGAATGTACTCTGCAGCACAAGTCTAATGACTTACATGACAAGTTCAGAGTGGACTGGCAGCTATAACTTTAAGCCCTATGGGTTCTCTTTACTTCACTGTGTTTAGTGCAAGAAAGAAAAAGGAGACCAGAAGGATTCGTATGACTGCATGTTTCCATTTTGTCACCAGACACATTTTTACCAAAAGGACGAGGCATAATGGAGACAAAACACAAGTGGTACAGATGAACTCAGAATGCGATGTCTATGTCCACTGTGCTCTAACTCCTCCTCCTCCCAAGACATGACTTTGCCATATTTTCTCACCAAGGTATTTATTTTTTCAAAAGCAAGTGGTTACCTTCTTAAATGTCACATACAGGTCACTAGAAAATAGGGAAGGTAAGGGGAAAAACAGAAAAAGGTAGATCAATTATCTACATCGAAATTTTCCTCTGGACACCTACTCTCCAGAGACTAGAACTTTTATGGTTCTATTGCAATGCTGACCTGTTCGTTTTGGCAGCTGTTAGATATTTTTCTGGCTATATAAAAGTCATTCATCCTTTTGAATCCTTAACCACAGCAGTGAATCAAGGGAATAAGAGCTAGGGAACCTGATGGGCAAATGAATAGGTGATACCACACAGGGAAAATCTTAGAACTCTAGGAGATCCAATTTGGTAAACAATGATCACCTTCTTACTTCTACTAGAATAGTTGAGCACCCACCGTATATACATCTTTATCTGAAAATACATCTATGCAGGAGAAACACGTTAAGTCCATTACAGCATCCTGTGGATAGTGGTCATGGACTATGAACATACTGGTACGTGGAAGGAGTCAGGAGAAGGGATAAAAGGGGATATATCAGTCAGAATTCTAAATTGAAATAGGGCTTACTCAAATCAAACTCTGGAGGCCTTGTACAGAGCACCATTAAGAGAACCAAGAGATGCCGAGGTACTCAGGGACTGACAACAGTGGGAGGCCATCACTGCCTTTAGTCCTAAACAGGCAAGCAAAGGAAACTGTTATTGAAGGGCAGGCAGAGCCAAAGACCTGGAGAAATGCTGCCTGGCAAGGTTACAGTTATAGAGGGACAACAGCAAATCCCCAGACGTAGAACTGAACCACAGAGGGAGTGGGGGCAGGAATACCTTTGGTACTCTCTGCTGGTACCCACACCCACCTTATGGCCTATCCTGGAATCAGAGGGCAATGATGCCGAGGTTTTGTAATTTGTGCTGTTAGCCTGTAGAGCAAAGCATAGGGTGGTGCAGGGCAGATGATGGAAGGGACAGGTGGAGAAAACTCAGTACAGGGTAGAGACTGAGAAAAGAATGAGAAGTGGTATATCAAAGAACATTTCTTACATTGTTATGATCCAGTGGAGAGAAAGAAGCCCAAACGTCATAAGGAGCCTATGCCTAAAAGAGTTTTCTTCATTGTCTTTTCCTATTCTATCCTTGTCTTTGTGTGGTTAACTACATTTCAGTTTTAGTTAAGGTAACTCTTTCAAAGAAGCCCACATAGTCATGAAGCATTTTCAAGGTTCTTCATTATTCTCAAATGAAAAGAAAAAAAATGTAGATGAATCCCTTAAAAAACATTAAATCAGTGATGCTATCAGTATTCAATCTCTAAGAAAGTTTTCAAGGACTGAAAGTTTTTAAGACTACTTTCATCAAGGTATGTCCTCAACGAAATAGCCATGCAAAATATTTAAAGATTCTACCTGTTTTACGACTGAAGCATGCAGAGATTTGCTTGGAAACTCGATTCTCTTTAGACAATCTGCCTTTAAAGTTCAAAAGCAATTGTATAGTCACTAATATAACATTAATGATAAAGGGAGTGAATCACTCATCTCTCTTGAGGATGAATATTTTGAGTTTTAGTTTTCCAAACAAGCAGGTGGGAATACAGATGAGCTATTTTTGAAAAAGCTAAATTTTAGATATCAAATGTTATGTCACTCTTAGTTTGAAAGCCATTAATTTAAAAAGTACTTTGGCAACTTTATAGCAATTATGAAATATTATTTTGCTTTCATATTCTTTTAGCTATGTTGAGGGAGGCATTCTTAATACAAGTTATAGTGGGGAAAAGTGTAACAATTATTTAAATGAATATAAAACTATAGCATTTAAAATTTCAACTTACATTCTCAAGCATTCAAGACTATCCTCACTTTTTCTTAGTAAAGCAAAGCTAAGTTTGTTAGACTAACTAAAATAAGAACACAACACAGCAAGATGCCCATTAGAGTTTCAAGAGGAGGAAGTAAGGAAATGATAGTTGTGGTTTTGTGGCTTAAACAGAATGATTTTTTAAAATTGTAATTGTTTTATTTTTATGTTTTTAAAATTGTGATTACTAGTTAGTTTCATAAATGGTTAATACTGAATTAGGTCTGTGACACAAGTAATTGAGCAGGTTAAGAAAAAGACACAAGTATCCGCTAGTCCTCCAGAAGGAAGGAGGTAGCACACTCAAATTAGGGTACTAGAACTGAGTTTAATAAAGAGGCTATTTACAATTATTAGGAAAGAATACTGGGTAAGTGATGACTTATGGTGTAGATCTTAATGGTTAGCAATGTTTTAGGAAGCCTTGATCACTCCTGAGACCAAAGGGATGAGGAGAGGGAGCAGTTATTGAATGTCAATGAGACCTGTAACTATAAGACAGGGACATCTGCTGGGAAGTGTCTTTTGGTGAGTGGAACACAGCCTCAGCTAACCCTCAGTCAAACAAGGAGGGAGCTGAGGGAGTAAATACTCCTATTTCTCTTTCCTTTAACCTCTCTTTTCTCCCATAGTTGAACCAACAAGAAATGCGGAGTAAGAGAGTCAGCATGGTGTGATGGATAGAGGCCAGTCTCTCGGCCACAGAACAGGGTAGGAAAAACTGGAAAAATGTAGGGAAATGATCTCTAGGGACAAATGTAAAATGTAAAGCATAAGATGGAGGCTTGGAAGCAAAAGAACTTATAGTATTTCCTAATAATATCTCTAGAGTTAAAATTTCTGCCTGAGAATCTCTCTTAAAGTGGAGGTCATTGTCAATATTTATTGCAAGGCAAAGAAGTGTTAAATTAATTTTTGAATTCAGTTCAGCTTGAGTTGCAGAGTTTTGACTTGAGCCCTACATTGAAGATACCTATAGTTTTCCTTACGTAGTTGTTATTTTATTTTATTTTTTTAAAAAAAAGCATAAAAAGGAATAAAATGTAG